GCTGTTGTTTTAAAAAGTTTTTTAAAATGTTTTAAAAAACCTAAAAAACTGTTTAAAACGTTTTTTTTCCATCCCTAAATACTGGTATAGAATTAATGTCCAAATCGACAGTTGGTGCAGAATTAGCAAAGTCAACAGTTGCGGTAAAATCAATATCTGATGTAATTTGTTGTGTTCTATTATATGTATTTACTATCCAATGCTTACCAATATAATTAATGCTTATTTCTTTTTGACTAAAAAGATGAAGAGCAATAATATGACGGCATGGAAGAGAAAATTGTGTAGTATAATTACAACTACAAACTAAAGCTATATCAGTTTGATATACAATATGTTTGTAGTTGCTATTATAATAAACTTTAAATAAACTATCTTGTTTTTCAATAGAATAATTCTTGATATTAGCTAAATTGTATTGTTCTAAAATTAATGAATATGTAAAATTTGATATAATTGCCGAAATGCTTTTAAGTAATTCAGGACATTGCTGACGAGTACTTCCACGTATACGATATTGTTGATATTGTGAATGTTGAAGTTGTTGGCAAGATAATTTATCTAATGCGCTTATTAACTCAGGCAAAGGTACTGTATGACCAAGTAAACGTTTTAAGTGTGCATTGCTAGCCTCTGATCATTGTGTTGTTCTTATTCCATAATTAGTATTTTTATTAATAAAACAATATGCCCACATGTGTGAAAGAGGTTTCTATTGTTCATTTATATGACTTTCAACTTCGGGATACTCTATCAAAAGATGATTCCAACTAACTTCAAATGTTTCTTCAGTATTTTGTATCATTGTTATTTTAAAGTCTTTACTAAATGCTAAAAATCTATTACCAAGTTTTCCTGTTAAATTTTTAACTAAATTTTGTTCTAAATGCCAAATACAAAGTTGGTGTTTGACATGTGGTAATTCATTTCGAATAGAAGACAGTATGGCGAGATCTTTATCAGTTAAAACTGTTTGAATTTTATTTATAGTTATATTATCAGCTGTTTGTTTTAATTGTTGAAGAACCCAACAAAAGCTTGATATAGTTTCATCAGAAATAAGTCTACTTGCAATTAAAAAGGTAATTCCCGTTGCATCAACACCACTTATAAGTAAAAGTGGTATTCCAAAATGATTGGTTTTGTAAGTTGAGTCCATTAATATAATTTCAGGAAAACGCTTAAATACCATTAATGCATTAGAAGTAGTAAAAAATAAACTATGCAGTTTATTATTTTTAACAGAATAAGTAACTATATACTCTTATTTATTTTGTAAGTTGTTTAATAATTCAGCAACTTGTGATAAACCTTTAATACGATCACGAGTATGACAAGTTAAGATATTATAAACATCCTTGCTATGAATATATCGATTATACTTTTCAGTTAACATATTAATAATCGTAGGTATTGGTATACCACTATTATGAAATACTTGAATTTGTGCATATATATGTTTGAATAACAAAATCCTATTGCAAGAAACAAGCTTTTTGTCTCAGCAAAGAAGCTTTATTCGGGATTTTAATCCTGACCTACTTGCCTGTTTATTTAATTGATACTTAAAAGGCGATAACAAAAATTTGTGAATGCTGTTATAACTAGGATTGGTTATAGAGAAAAGAACTTTGGTACAAAGATTTTTTTTATATATATCCTTGTACAGTATCATGCCCTTTACTATAATTCTAAATTAGTGGTGAAATAAAATCGTTTATCAAAATTTATCTGAGTAACATCAATCACAAAATTACCGGGTAAGTTAAAATCAATCCTAAGAAATCGTTACGTACTCGGGTAACCCTAGCCATGATAGGTTAAAATAACCCGGGTCAAAATAGAAATTTGCTTTTTGGGTATTCTAAATAATAATATAGTCGAATATGTCATGAGTTTTCTCATTCATGAGGTTTAAATTTGCACGTAAACAAAATAATTTGTAATACGTAGCAGAATTTTTGTCTGGAGCGACTCATACTTCTACGCCCTTTGATGACCGAAATTACGTTTTTTAGTAGAAATATCAAAAATGTAGTTTTGGTATTTTCCGGATGTAACGCCTGAAAATTTGATCTATGACATACGTAACAAGACTTTTCAGGGCTAAAAACATTAAATTGAGCTCCAGACTTATACCGGTTTCCGGTTCCTAGTCTTAAATAACTGATTAAAAATTAACTAAATCAATAATATTCGTCGTAACAATACAGATACACAGTAATAACTGTCGCAGATCATAATGAAATCGGATTAAAATGAAATGAAGGGTTTCTATTTGACCCTCTAAAACCCACTTATACTTGTTTATTATAAAATCTGCTTCTAAACCCCGTATTTTTCGGTGACTTGTCTATTTTACACTACTGTATCCTCCATTTCATTTTAATCTGATTTCATTTTAATCTGCCACAATAACTATTCTAACAAAACTAGGAACCGGAAACCGGTATATGTCTGGTGCTCAATTTAACCTTAATGTTTTTAGCCTCTTGTTATGCATGTCGTAGATCAAATTTTTCAGGGGTGACATTTTTGATATTTCTGCCATAAACATATCAAAAACGTAATTTCGGACATCAAAGGGTATAGAAGTAAAAGTCTGTCGCTTCGCTCCATACAATTCACCCCAGACAATTACATAATCATAAAATTTAATTATATTTTATATGATATAAGCTCCTATTAATAGTTAATAAATTTGCCTTATTTTTATTGCTGACAGCCCATATTTTAATTCTAAAATAAAAAAAAAATAAATAAAACCTCAGAGACGAAATTGAAACTTCTATAATTTATATTGTATAATAAATATTTAACTACGTTCGAGTATACTATTTAATATGAAAAATTTATTAAATTTCCTGTGGTTTACAGAATGTAATTTGGTAACATTAAAAAAAGTAACTTCTACAAGTACACACTCTTATATTATAGAAATCGCACCTATTTGAACATAAACTGTACAAAAATTAAAGTGTGTTACATTCTGCGTGATGTTTTTTAAAGAGCTTCGATACGGTTCCTAATGCTAAAGTAATTGCTCTTTAATATGAATATGATAGATTTACGTACTGTCATATTCTTACGTAAAGGGTCTCACTCACTTATTCAGAAATAGCTATTCAACTACATTATTCGAAGCTTCAAGTATTGAAACTTAAAAATTATTATTTTTAGAAGGCCAATCTATAATGTCTACCTTGTTTACTTTATTTGCCAGGTCCAAAAGGTTCAATGTTTACGACAATTCTATCGTCAAATCTGCAAAATCTGTTCCGCTGCATTTATAGCGAGCTATTTTAGCATCGATCTTATCGCCGCAGTATCTTTTATCTTACTAATCCCTTTTACGACACATCATACATATTTGTAATATTTTACATTACACACCATTCTTCAGTGTCAAATGAGGATTTATCATGTAAAATCCCATTATTCGATGACGAATCAGAATCATTACATAGAATGTCATCTGATGGACTAGTTTTATATATTTGTATCCAATCTTCATAAGATATAATGTTCCAATTTTTAGGGTTATCCGCAAGAGTATTTAACCAATCATCTATTTTGTTTCGATAAATAAGTTCCCCATCATTATTAAGAAAATAACAAGTGTTAACTTCTTTAAATTCATTATTCCATGCTTTTAAAAGATGTTCAATTTTTTTGATGTGCACAAGGATCGTTAGATTTAAGATCTAGTTGTTGTGTTTTAATTTCGGGAGGGTGAGTATTTGATTTATATGTTTTTGACAAAACTCCACCCAAAGTAAAAGTTCTTGGCAACAAATGCCCATAATCCTCGCCAAATAACTTGCAAAGAGTTTCAGATTTAGATGATTCATTTTGATCCTGAAGTGCAGAATCTATCGCATTTGAAAATTCTCGTAAATATTCAATGTCCAATGGGTCAAAAGAAATTTTTATCGTATGAAAGATTATTTGACAATAAATTGCATTAGAGGGTTGCTTTTTAGAGTCCTTAAAGTCCTCTAAAGGAATATTAAGTGTTGAACTATGCTCAGGATAAGGGATTTTATCAAGTTCTATTCCATCTTCCTTCTTTAAAATAATACCATTCTCTAATAAATAATCTTCTTGACGGCTTTTATGTTTCGATAAGATGATAGTAATTTTATTTATTGGAGTTATTTTCGGTTCCTTTAAAAATTTAAAAGCAGCTTTTTTAGCCCTTCCTGGCTTTGAACGCTGTAAAATTATGCCATGTTGTAAAAAATTGTCTTGAATCCAATCATACGTATATAATGGGAATGCTGGTGGTATTAACCACTCTAATATATTTATTTTATCATACCGAGATCGAATTTTTGAAATTAATTCTGATTCGTCAGTACGTTGAAAATTAGAATATTCAAATAAATCTTGTGGTAACAATTGAATAGCAGGTTTGAATGATTCATATGATATAATCTCAAAATCATTAGAGTTAGGTAGGTCTTTAACCCATTTATATAAATCCTCTGCAGTTTTCATTCTTTTTGAATTTGTAAATAAGTATAAGTCATCAATTGATGTTTTTTCAAAGTTGTTTACTTTTATGCCCTTGGCATAATCAATGCTCCATTGAAGATATGCTTTTAAGCGCGATTTACTTATGTCATCAAATTTAGACCAATTTTTAATTGTGATAACACCGCCAATAGTCGCCGAAGTAATTACATATTCACCATAATAATTTAATTTTTCTTTAAGGTTCTTCTTTTTCTCAGTTTCATCTGAAATATTAATCACGTCTCTAATATCTTGAATAAATTCAGAAGTCAGATCACATCCATAATATAAAGTTAGAATTGGAATGTGGATATGTATGTTATCCTGATCTGTTTTTATTCCATTTTCCTTCGGAAAACAGATAATTGGAATTAGCTGCCTTATTTTTTCTACTTCTAAACTATCATTATCT